ATTTATGATCTACCTTTGAGGGGACATTTTATGCATTTTCATAAAGAACTTTACTAAGTAAATAAGTTATAAATAAGTTTACTTTAACTTTAAAAATGTATTTAATTTTATTACATTTTATTACCATTATCAGATCAGTAGTGACTGTGGCAAGGAAGGTTAGCTCCTCTGAAATGAAAATGAGTGAATGAAACAGTTTTCAGATCTACTTTAATGTACAGCTAGCAAAACCAGCCTCACAATATAAGAGAAAACAGCTGCAGAAGCACTGTCACACAATCATGTGACCTCTGTTCACGCCAAACTGGCCGAGGGCACCTTCTTAGCAATGAGCGGTAGACATCACAATATCATTTAGCTTTAGAGATCAATATGCACTTTGCAGCAGCTGACCTACATAAGTGGTAGGAGTGTGGACTGTCAAAATCACTGGACTGTCTGTGAGCCTCAAGATCCTTGGAGCCCCGTATAGTCTCCATGGGAGTAGAGCATGAGGCAGCCAATGGTGTGATGTTACAAATCTCTGTTTTAAAAACAAAGATTATAAAATCCTCTAAATTGACTTCAGTCTACATCAATTTACCACAACCTAACTGCTATAGGGAATTTACCTGTAAAATGATCACAGATGAATCAGGGACATTTCTACAGTGCATCTGTTTGCCACCCTCGAAAGTTTTAAATCCCATCTTAATTCCCTTTTATTCTCTGGCTTTTAACCCAGCATGAGAGCTGTGTGGTCTTCTATTGTTGCCTTTCAATTGTTCGTGAACCATTTGTTTGTTTTGTCGTCTATGTTTTTGTTTTATTCCTTGTACAGCACTTTATACAGCCGGTTTTAAAAATGTGAGGAGAAAAAAAATTAAAATAAAATTATATCTATATAATAAATGTTCCTGAACATATCTTTTTGAGAGGCATACTCCTCCATGACCATTTATCACAGATTGGACCTCTTGATTGCCAAACGCTGGGCAGGCGGCCTAAAGTTATCCTAGAGCGAATATGGGCTCAATAGTATCAGAAAACCACTGTAATGTTCTCCTCCTGTTGATCCAGAGCAAACCCCGTAATTTAGCTTACATCCGACAGCACGCCTCTTCATTGTAACAACTCTTTAATGACAAGCCCTGTACTTTCTGGATAACATAAAATCAGTAAAACCAAAAATCCTGCACACTCAAGATGAGGCCTACTCTCAGCACAGATAGATGGGATGGCTGATTTGAGGTCAGCTCAACGACACAATGACAACATGCCTTGAAGCTGAGAGGGAGTAAACACTCTTGCTGCACTTATTCCATGTCAAAGCCCTCTTAGCTTTTCATCCACGCCTTGCTTTAGACATCTCTCCTCTGCCCCCCCCGCTGTAAAAAAAAAAAAATAAATAAAAAATTCACAAAAAAAAACCCTGGCCATTTCCCCACAGCTCATCCCTCACGCCCACCCAGGACCTGTCACACTGCTGTTTCCATGACAACACAAACGCAGAGACAGCGGGGTGAGATGCCCAGTGAGACAAGGCAAACAGATACCAGGGGGGAGTGGTGCATCATGTCAGGAATCCACTGTGGACCTTATACAGCATGTGATGGACAGATAACACAATGCAGTCCGATCTGTTACATCTAAACTTAAGTGGAAGCTACATGCTTTCTTGTGTGTTTGTCGGATGGGCCTTATCAAGCAGCCAATCTATCTTCCAGTTTGAATCATTTAAGGTTGTTTATTACAAAAACACTTAATATGAAGAAGGGACAATACTACTGCTCCAGAGTAGTGTTTACTAAAAGCAAAGCCGCCCTTGTAGTTTCTCCTAACACTAGGTCTTGGAATGAAATGTGCAGATTTGAGCAATAATTTGCAACTTCCTTATGAAAGCCCAGAATCCTGTCAGCCTCTCAGCGCTGGATGTTGTCATCTGACACTGCTTTATTAAAAAAAAATTTTAAAAAAAAAGGAGCCAAGGAGTACACATTGAAAGAGCCTGTGAGAGACAGGCGGGGATGGTGTTGTTCAGGAGCTGGCCGTACTAAGCGTCAGAGACATGGATGTCATTTTCCAGCCTGGTTCAAATGAGTCAACTTAATGTTGTTAGCAAAGAGAAGTGTGTGTGGAAACGAGGACAGCGTAGTTAGCGAGGGAAATGTCTAAAAAGGTGACATTTATTTTTCATCTTTTGCTTTAAAAGAATATTAGCAACATGGCACTACTTGATATAGGAATTGTTAATGACTATTTTCCTAAGAATATTCAAATAAAGAGGCCCAGCTATGAGTTTAGGGCAGTCCAACTACCAAAAGATATTCAATTTACTATCATAGAAGACCAAAAACAGGAAAATTAAAGACTTAAAGCTGCAACCACAAAGTTCTTGGCATTTTAGCTTCAAATTTGATATCAAAAACGTTGCAGATTAATTTTCAATTGATAGACTAATCAATCGATTGTGATCACTTCAGCTCTAAATGGAGTTTAAAGACTAGAAGTGAGTTCTGAAGACATATGTTAATTCTTCTAAAACTGATTATGAATTGAATGGGGCTTTGGTTAAAAGCCCAAAACAAATCCAGTTGTAATATAAGTTTAACGCCCTAATAACAATGTGCCAGAGTTACCAGGGGACCTTGTGTAATTTAGGTATTCGCTCCAACATCTGTGTGTTATGAGGTGCAGTCACTTGGGAAACACAATAATCCGCATTTCACTTGAATTTACTGACCAAATTCTACAGATGATCCCTAAGACAAAACTGACACAATGTTTTATAGCTAGATAAAACTCTTTTGAGCTCAAAATTCAATCAAAGTGTATTACATCAAGTATAATTCTATCTATAAATGTTAATAAATGAAATTTAACAAGATACAAATAAATTACTGAGATGCCACAGACAACATCAGTAACCGTTGGAACCACCTCGGCTGTAGTTAACTGTTTCATAGGTTAGTATAGCCTATAATTTATGCTTTAAATTCAAATAAAATCTTTGCTTATTTGAGGAAATTGTCTTATATTAACACATATGAAACATATGCATAAATCACAAAGCATATTTCTGGCATCAATACAAAAATGTAATTTTAAGTTATAGTGGGGCTGCAGTACAAAAAAAGTCACGGGACTATCCTATGAGGCCAACAGTGGCAGACAACAACCAAAGAACTGGCAGCATATGCAAAAGACCAAGGGTCAAATGATTACAGTATCACTCAGGTGACGCAACAAAGCCACCTATCACAGGGCAAAAGTCGGTGCTTCCAAGATGAAAGGTTTGTCTCCAAGTTTAATCGGTTTTGTGGAATTTAAAAAACACACACAGAACATAGAGTGAGCAACCTCAAAGAGTTAAACAACAAAAACAGAAAGACAGGCTAGTATGAAGGAAATGAACAGGCCCAGACTGAGAGAAGACAATTAGCGAGCAAGAGATGGATGTAGAAGATCGTTTCCGGCTCATGTGACAAGCAGGGCATTACTGTCACACACCTGTTGCTATTGCTGTAGTTTACAATGTGTTCAGGCAGAGAATTACTTCCAGATAACAACCATTACAAGGACTGCGCCAAGTCAGTGTGAGAAAACCTCCAGTCAGTTATCCTTGTATAAACATCCACATACTTACATACACACTGACATGAATTCCTGAACTGTCATCATCCCAACACGGTTATTCTTCTGCACTATTAAGTCAAAACTAATGTTTCACTGTACCTGCCAAAGGAGGACACCTGTTATATCATTCTTACAACAGACTAGGGTGCTTTCGACCTTAAAAAAACAAAACAAACAAAAGCTATAGGAATGCATCTGCGCAGGACTGCATTCTTTGTAACTAGGGAGAGGGCTGTCACAGGCGTCATAGGCATGCTCCATGTCTAACACAAACCGTTTGATCAGCCACGATCCACAAAAAGAAATAGTAGAGAGCAAGTTTTGTTACACTGCAAATTTAATAACTTCAGGCACTATGCCTTGGAGATATAGTGCTGCTCATGCTAGCAGGGGGGGAGCATTTTTAAAATGATTAACACAAACATGCAGATAAAAGTAATAAACAGATATCTTTCAAACTCATCCATTTATATGGTCCGGCCCTTTTCCAATATGCTGTAAATGACACGCTGTCTTCTTTTTAAACTTCTTGAGAGATTACTTTGCATATGACTACAGGTAGATCGGACAGAAATCCATCACATCACATCTTCACAGAAGCCCCGAAGATGCAGCCAAACCCCAGCTGGACAACATGTCATGTTAAATCTCCTGTCAGCGATGTGACCCCGTGCACTGTGCACCATCAGGTGGGAAGAGTGATGTAACAGAAACTGCTCAACTGGTTCCACAGGATGCGTTCCTCTTGCATTACTGAGAGCAGCGTTGACAGTCATTGAAATGGCACAAGCTGTCTGCCTGTATAGTCCTGAATCAGTCAAGCAGGAGAGCCCTTAAGAGGAGTGCAGTGTACCCTCCACGCAGGCACAACAAAGCAAACCTCTAAGCAGCATTCCCCCATACTGCCCTACGTGTTCAGAGAGCATCTTTCGATGTAAAGACCTGCCTCTATTTACATCTCCTCAATGAAGCCCTAGTAATTGTACCGCCACCCGATTATTTTAAACATGTTCTGACGTCTTTGGAAAGCAATACCACAACAAACTGCAAGTACCGTGCAGACTTTTTCCTCTTTCAATCTTGAGTGTGGAGCTAAAGTCTGGGTTTCTGGTGTGTAGCTGAATCCATGCACAACTTTCAGAATACTTTGATTCTTTTGGGTTTTTTTTTTTTTTTTTTTTTACAAGCGCCTGAAGAAGCTACTGGTTTACGTGAAATAACGCTCATGTTATAGCTTGGCCGCAAACTAGCCTATTAGTAGAGCACCTCGACTATACAAAGTAACGCAAGCCAAACACAGGAGAAATATTTCAGTTCAGCAAAAAAATAAAGACAAAATGAGAACGGTCCCTTCACCTTGAACAAATGCAGAAATTTCAACTTACCTAACGTAGCAGGTAGCACGGAGGCATGGTTAATACAACAACAAACACGGTTAACAGCCCGCTAAAACACATGGTGAGAACTGTCCTGACTCACTCGTATATTCTGACAACGTCGCCCAACCAGCCAGACTAGCCTGCAGCTAAACAGTTAGCATGCTAACTACGTTCTTGCTGTAACTGGCGAACTTAGTCCGGTGTTGTATGCACGGCCACCCGCTCACTCAGCACAAAAAACAATGACATATGAAAGTATTGTGCACGCTACATTTTACTTTACATCACACGTATTTGTGACCATACCACCACCAAATAGAAACAGCGGACAACATTGCAATAAGTCTCTTGCAAGCCCGCTGTCTGAGCAGTCTAATTGAGTTTGCTGCAGAAAACACTATGAACACAGGCAGCGGGCTTAGCCAAGAAGCTAACGCTTGCTAATAAGCTAACGCCGAAGCGAGAGCCTGTGCCAGACAGACACACAACCGAGATTGAAGACCTCGCATCGGCTCATGGATTTCACAACGAAAACACCACGTCCCGTCTCAACAAGGAGCACCAACACGTGTGGCTACTTACGATTTAATACTTTCGGCTGTGTCCTCGCTGTTAAAATCCGTTTAAAAGACGCAGCTCTGACCTTCGTGGTAGTGAAACAACATTTCTGCTGGCTAACTGTGCCGCCATGTTACTCCTGCTGTGCAAACCAATGCTGAGTGTTTATCTGGCTGGTAGCTGCTATCCTCCCCCACACCAAACCACATCACGGGGCTCCAGCAGTATCAACTCACTAGTACCGCGGAGGTTTGTAAGCAATACTACGGCGATTTACCTGTTAGGATGACACAGTACCTGTAATTTCATTGAATAGCATTCAGTTGTCTACATTTAATCTGGCCACCAGTCAAAACAGTTACTCAAAAAAACCACCGTGTCACGAATGTCAGCAGCTAATTTAAATGTATGTTGTGGCCGTGGTTTACAAAGTGGGCAAACTGTGACCCCCATCTCAGCTCAGTTTTGTCAATATGGGAACAAAAATGTAACATGTTACGCGAATACATATAACTTACACGAGCTGGAATACTGCGTACAGGATGAGTGTGCAATAAAGGTCATAAAGATTTATGTCTGCCTATAAAATGATAGGTTTAAACACTGTGCCGCAAATGAAAAGGCTGGTAAAAGGAATATTTTTCCTTTGCTCAGACATCTAGAAGTTCAATTTTAGTCCAGCCTTGTTAATTTTAAGATACTACATTTGCTATAACACTTACCACTGGTAGTAACTATACAGTCATAAGAAAAATGTACAATAACGCGCGTGCATTTTCAAGAAACACCATGCCATTTTATTTTAAACTATTAACATGTAGTAAAACTAAGACGGCAAAACACATTACAAGCCTTATAAATATTACAAATGAGCGTGTCCTACTTAGCCTATGTGGCTACCTTGATTTACTGCGTGGTCAACTATCCACTGAGCTCGCAAGCAAGCAGGCAGGCGTTTTCTTTTCATTAAAAGTAGTGCAACATCGCCGCCAAGTGGCGGCTGTGTGAAAAACCGACAGTGGGGGATTGGGGGGGGGCTGGATAGTTGACCACGCAGTAAATCAAGGTAGGGGGGGGGACTTGTGTTCAGTACATTCAGTATTTAATATTTATGTGCGAGGGTGCTCCATCCGAATCAGAACTGTAGCTACCAATAACAACACTGAAGTTTGTCCTCTACATTTAAAAAATGTTATTATTGACTTGTTATTAGATCATATGCTAAAGGCTTCAGCACATCTCACCATTCATTTATTTCCTGCCAGTGTGGAGACGTCTTTGAAAGAACACTTACACACTCATGTGTCATCAATATATAAAATGTACAGTCACTGAAATGATGACTGAATAAATAAAAAATTAAAATATAAATCCTGACTACAGCCTTGCTTCTAGCTTGTCTCCATTTATTGCATTGGGGTTCCTAGCAATATCTGCGACCTAGTTTGGGAGTAATTACTACACCTCCCCCTTTGTCACTATTACAACACAAGGAAATCATGTTTTTTGGTTCATTGTGCAGCAAAATTATAAGTCTTATAGCTCTTTTTTTCAATAAAACACTTTATTCCTTTATAGAATAGATAAACCCTCAGGACAAATCGAGATAACCACATACACTGCTGATGTACTGCCAGAGGCAAACATGACTCACTTCTGTGTGCCTAAAATTAGTTAATGGGTTTTTTCTTTTGAAAAAGTCAGTGTTACCTAGGTGATTGATTCTTACAATACAGTTGAGTGCACGCCATAGCTTTGTAAATTTATTTTATGGCATGTAAGTAAAAGGCATATATCAACAGTCAATCAGGCTCATTTGGCACAGTCAATAGTGGGCAGGGGGGGGAAACAGGCAAACTAAATATGACTCTCATTCCCAGTCTGTGCTTTTACAACAAATCATTCTTGTGGGCATTTTTAATGCAAGTAATAATATGCATGGCCAAACGAATACAGTAAACCCATTCCACTTAAACAGCGAATGAAGAGGGACCATACAAGACAATGATTCACTCAAACTCACTAAATGGATGTTTTGCCTGATTTAATCCTTTCCATCTCTTATAAAGTAAACTAAACCACGAGGTGTGTTCGTTTATTAATCGTGTCACAGGCAGAACTTTCATGGCAAGTAAAATGTTCTATTGTGATTATAAAGCTGCTCTGAACTCCAATAATTAAGTTCTACATCAGGTCACAGCGCAGCGTTGCACAACACTGAACTGTGAACCTATTTACAGTATTACAGGGTGACATCTGCCGTTTTCCTTGCTTACTTTTATGCACTCTATTCTATCCATGAGTGGACGTTGAAAATTTTCCTATTCTACTTGGTGTTCAATCTTTAGGCGAATGTTGGTCACTGTGTGAGCTGAACAGTCTGGGATGTGTGAACCAAGTCGAATCCTTAACATTGTATGTAACCGTCACTCATGGAAAATATAAGATATATATATAAAGGAAATTCATAAACTCCATACAATGTTTACAAAAATCCCTGAAAAGAGGGACAGAAGTCATTGGCAAAGAAAAAAAAAGGGCGGTGGGTGGATAAAACACTAGCAGGAATACACAGTATTTAGGAAAAAGCTTGAAATGACCTGACTTGAGAGAAACATTAAACACTGAAGTCATCATTCCTGAAATTTTTAAAATTACACACCCTGTACAAAACAATCCGTATCAATAGGCACTTCTTAAATAAGCTCTTTTTTTCATAGTTTATTTCTGAATTGGTTTTTGTTTTCATTCGGAATGGCACAGCAGGGCAATGATTCTCAGATCAAGGCGCGCTGGACGACTGGCGACAAGTAAAGCTAAATGCATTCTGGCCCATGAAGTCCAGCTGGGAGGTCAGTCCTGTGTGGGAGCTGAAAATGCATATCATGGTCGAGGAGCTGGAGGAAATGTTGGTTGGTTGGAGATGGTTCTTTGAAAAGGGGGTGATAGTGGGGGCTGAGGGAAATGTATTTATGAGGACTTCTCTTTTCTTGCTCTTGGTGAATCAGCGCCGTGGGAGTTCACTCCATTTACTCCATTGGCTAAAAACAAAAGGACACACCCAAATTAGTCATTTGACTGATTAACAATGTGAAGCATATGTAAGCACGGCCTTTATGCATTTAATGAGAGGAAATTGATTCTAACAAATGTGAGCTCTTAAGCTTAAAAGACTTGGTGTTGCCTCCTTTTTACTTCCCATTTGATTAGTCAGTTTCATTACAACAGTGTGTGCTTGGATATGCATTTTATTGCTTGGGGAAATGTCCAGTGCTTTGCAGAAGAATACACTCACAATCATGTAATTGCTTTGTACTCCTTGCTCACCTTTGTCTTTCTTTGATTTGCTCTTGGAAGGAACTTGTTTCTTTTTCAAGGTCTGAGCCTGGGCATGCTCTCTCCACCGGCGCAGCTGAAAGTTGATAAATTTCCACATGATGAAGGCCTGAGTGAGGCAGATAGCGGCCAGGACAGTTATCCTAATGGAGAGTTGAAAAGGCAAATGGTTAGAAAAGACGTGGGTCACATAGACACAGCTAAAAATGTGTCCACAATATAAGTCCCATCTCAGATGCTCATTTTCAAAGCAGTTCATGTAGTGATTTAAGTTTTGTAATGTACTTTTTTTGCATAGCTTCTAGATTTCTCAACCCCCCCCCCACACACACACACACTTGACATCACATGACTGAAGTGTGCATCACAATACGCAACTCTTTATACTGCTAATGCTAACTAATACTATTTCCTAAAGGATTTTTGTTATGTATCAATGATTGTTACATTTGAAATATTTACCCATATATTTAAAATATTATTTCAGGATGAAGTGGTCCTGTTTCCCTTCTCAGACACACTTACCGAACAAAAAGAACATTAAAGTTTCCTGCAGCCAAATCAAAGCCTTGACTCTCCGCGTTGGCGAGGCCAAAGCCCACGGTGAGGACAGACAAGGACAGGGTGAGGAGCCGTCCAAGGACAAACAAGACGGCCCATATGGTGAAACTGGAAGACAAAGGGGGCGACCATGATACTGCATTCAAGAGTTCTCAACCATCAGTAATTCCTTAACTGGTAAAAGAAATTCACAAACAATCATACAATATGAAAAATCTGAAATCTCACCCCGTTTGTCTGTTCTCGTTGCTGAAGTAGATCAGGCGGGAAACATGGAACAGGAGCTCGACAAAGTAGTGCAACACTAGCAGGACCAGACCCAGGCGGTTCAGACTGAAAGACACGAGGAGACAGAATTCCCATTTATTAAACATGACAAGACCAGCAAGAAGGCCGGTGTACAAACATGCAATGACACATACATAATATTAGGCTTTCTTAGGTAGCAGTTCTTACTTCAGAATGTAAGCGCCTGCAATGTGGACCAGGTACAGGAAGATGTACACAAGCTGGCGGGGAATATCCTCCTAAACAGTGCACACAAAAAGATGGGGGCGGTCAAAATATTTACAGCAGTGTGGCTCTGTAAGTAGAATTAAGCAAGACAAGTATGATTCTTTGAAACAATGCTACATAATCGAGGAAGTCAAACAGGATATAGCCTCATGGTCTAAACAGACGCTTCACTATGTCCACAAACACACACACACTCTTACCTTCTTTGTCTTTTGGAAATAGAGTTCTGGCAGAGCGTGTAACCAGTAGCCCAGCTGACAAATGAAGTAGAATTTCATCTGGAATCTGAAGGAAAACAATTACAAAATGAAATGCTTTTGGAATTCAGAGCCACACTTGAACATCTCAATGCAATTGACAGTAAGGAAACATATGTGATGGGTTTTCTTGCCTATTCAAACCACAAAAAAACAACAAACAGTATCTCTAAAAAGCACAAGACCTCCACTTACGGCATCAGTGTGTGGGGATAACCCTCCCACAGGGTGACCGGATTAGACAGGAAGTTTTCCTAAGAACAAAGCTAATTGTTAAATTGCAATCACGGGCCGATTTTGGCCTTAAAACATGTCCAAACAAGAACAACGCCAGCTTAGCCACTGTACGTACAGAAAGCAGGATGCTTGTGCCCCACCCGAAGGAGAATAAGTAGAAGGCGCTGAGCTGCCCCGACTCGTTGAACTTGCTGTGCTTAGTTTTGGAGAAGTGCTTCTTCCTGTTGATTTTCTGCAAAGATGACCAACAAGAAACAATGGAGAACTGTTCGAGGAGATTAAAGACTGTGTGCTTGCAGCGTGTGTCTCACTTACATCCAGCACGTACTCCTGGATAATGGCATGCATGATGATGGCCACCAGCATGTAGAAGAAGATAGTGGCCAAGTCCTTGATGCCATGGTGGAAGTGGTTCACGGCCGTCTCCTCTGGGCCTTCGGTAGCGCGCACACACACACAGAGGCAAGGCAAGTTTATTTGTACAGCACATTTCAGCAACAAGGCAATTCAAAATGCTTTACATAAAGGCAACAATTTTTAGAGTCAAATAGAAAATAAAAACAGGTTAATTTACCACCCGGTAAACATATTTGTTCACCCATAATGGGTTACGAATAATCAGGCTTTTAACCTTCCATTGATTTCCCATCTCTCACAAAAGTCAAACCTCACACGATATCTGACAGAGCCAAATCTGCTTTTATCTGGCAATGTGTTTCGTTCGTATCCAAAATGTTTGATGCACCCTGTTTATGCATCCTTTCTAAAGTTACATATTATCTATGAAGTCTCCGACTCTGAATCTGTGAAACACAGCGACAGAAGATACATAAACACAGTTCCCAGCAAACAGCCGGAGATGTACTCCCTTTCTCATGGTTTATGCAACCACATAATGAAATCAATCCAATCATTTGTAAAAGTCAGCACAGACATAGGAAAAATACAATGGCTTTATTGAATTTGTTCCACTACAGAGAGATTTAGGCGCTGCAAGTTATTTGTCCAATTACAGACATGCTGTAAATAAGTTACTAGGTAAGTGGTAAGGTCTCCCAGATAAGAAGTGCACCAGCTGGCAGCCTGCAACCCTACAGCCTGTGCAACAGAGTACAAAAAGCTCTGAGGTCGTACATTCCTTCAGTGGTATCTGAAGTTGGCAAAGAAATTGTTAACCTTGAAATTAGCAGGACTTGGGATTGAGAGGACTATATTACACCTCAGCCCAAATTCACCCAGCACAACCTTGCCACAAGAGAACTTTATAAATCAGGCGGCCTAATTTTAGCTCCAAAGGGGGAAGAAAAAAAAGCTCTCAAATGAGTTTGTGTAAGGCCACGCAAGTAGCGCTCCAGAATCCAAATGAGAGGCTTCCAGCCAGACAAACTCTAAGAAAATATTGCATTATATGTCAAAGCCAAAACTCGCTGTGTTCATTCTAACACATTCAAGCATCATCTGAAAACATCTGTTCTGCACCATATGTCTTATACTCTCAATTTAATCTTTAACATACCATTTGTTGATATGGTGACATTGTACTGGACTGTTATGAATAACACTGCAAACTTTGAGGTTACCTGTAGATGGAAAAAAAAAAATCAACATATTAATATGTGACAGTCATTTAAAAAAGGATTCAACCAAATACATTTTAATTGTAAAAGAGTTAGTGTGTTTATACACATTAAAACGTGGTGCATCTCATATAAGGATTCCCTGTGAGACCTATAATGGAGTGACTGTAACTGAGATGTGAATATTGACTTACCACATTGGTTCTAAAGTTTAAATGTTTTATTTTAGCAATATTTCATAGCAGTGTTAGGCTGAGAATTCACAAAGATAACCCAAACCTATAAGGCTATATGGGAATTATATTTTTGAACAGAAAACAAAATGATAAAGCACTATCAACTCCTTTAGAGGAATAAAATAAATAGAATAATTGAATGTAAGTTGATACAGGGATAATTAGCCTAGTAGTGATGTGTGAAAATAAAATGTATTGAAGGAGCAGCATCAAGATGCCCGAATTATACGGCTCAAATGGGAAGTTGCTTATTCGTCCTTCACAACAAACGAACTACGTGGCCAAACAAATGAAATTATATAGAGAAATATGCACTGTTTAGTTACATCGTCATAAACACCCGTAAATGTGAAACAGTTTAGCTGCCATTGCGAGCCAATGTACACGTTGCAACAGCTGTTAGTAGACGAGGATTTTACTTTGGAAAAGAAAAAGAGGAAGTAGGTCAAGCTGTCGCTCACTGACTATAATGGCGCTGCTTTTCACTGAGGACGAAACATGCATTGAAATCAAACATAAATGCGTGTGAAAGTGGCCCAGCGTGCAGCGCAGACACGGGCCACGCTGTGTGAGCGGATCCCGGCTGTCAGCCCGCAGCATCGACAGACATTTGCACTATTGCTTAGCTCCAAGAACAACTTTCTGACTCGGTTTTCTGTGATGACAGCCCTCTCAGTCGCTGTATGATTGCCACGTAACACATCTACGCATAAACTAAACCAAGTCGGGAGTGTTGCACAATATTGTAACCACTGAGATCGATAGACTGTTGCAAATCTGCAACACAACTTGATGTTCCCATAAATAAAGTTGCACATAAAAAACTTTTTTCTTTAATGATCAAACCACGGGCCTCTGTGGACGAGTGATTTGAAATATCGATTTCATCATGGGGAGCAGCCAGATGGAAAGGGGACAATAGTCCCCACGTCGCTTTAATAAAGTCACAATTGGTTGGCCAGGCTACCCGATAGAGTTGATGATCTCGTGGAATAAAAGCAAAAGCGAAGCCATCGAGCGCAGAAAACTTTCGATCACGGGAGGAAGTAGTGTGAAGAATAGATCAGACAGCCATGTCAGTTTCCACCACAACAGCATTCGCATCCTGTGCACCAGCAGTCCGTCCTCTGTGCCGGGCCAGCACCCCCGCGTGATCCACAAGTAAAACCCATTCACCGTGTGTACAGGACTTACCTCAAACATCAGCCCGAGAAGAAACACCATAGCAACACAGGAAACAATATCTGCATGGTTCTGGATGACAAACTCATGGCTCAGCATTGGCGGACTCTTGGTGGTCTTTTTTCGGATCCCCATGTCGACACGATTCGACCCAACTTTTGCTTCACGCGGCGTAGATGTAGTCTGTTTCTATCAGATATTATTACTATTATTATCCTTCTGTGCGAGAATCCTCAAAGCTCCCCTGGTTCATACGAGCAAAGGGCCAGGCAAAAATTGAATGGCGTGTCACTCTTCTGCTAGTGGGAGGGGCCTGGGAGGGGCCTAGTGAGAGAGCCGCTGCGCCTGCGCCTCACCAACAAGAATCTTTACATAGCGCCACCTCGAGGGTTGGGGTATAAGAGCATACTAATGACTAAACCTTAAAGCTGAAGTTACTGTATTTTGCTGGTTCAAGCTACAATTTTTCTGTCTAAAAAAGGTCCTGTAGAATGCGGCCCACTTTTGACATACATTAGTGTATGTTAGAGGGCGGTTAGCTCTGTCACCTCGCAGCAAGAAGACTCATAGACTGTATAAAGCCCCATACAACCCTGCAAAGGATAAGTGGGGATGGATGAAGTATATTATATTCATGTTGGGGGAATACACTATTGACTGTATATAAAGGAATACACTCACATATCTGTCTATTTTAGGAGCTAACTAGTGTTAAAATGGAGCTACATTGCAACAGCTGGTTAGCTTAGCTTAGCATAACTACTAGAAACGGGGAAACAGATACTCAGCCTGGCTCAGTCCAAAGGTAATAAAATCTGCCTACCACCACCTGTAAAGCTCACCTATCTTTGACCTGTACAAAAACTGAAGTTTAAAACAATGTCATTGTTTGAGGTTTTATTATTTATCATTGGGGTTTATGTATGGAACTATTTCTTGTCGGCTGGTTGCCAGGCAAGGGGACAACACTCCAGAAAGTTAACTTTCTGCTCCATATTTACATGTAGGCCTACAATAGCTAGTGGTATCAATCTTCTCATATTGTTATTCAGTTCAGCTTTGGTAATTTAATGCTAAATGCTTGATGTAGCATAACAGTAAACAAGTAGAAAAGTATACTGACTCTGTTAGTTACACAGCAATATCTAGCAAAAGTTTGGTAATATTAGCTAACTTTAGCCACCATAAGCTATTGATCATACCAGACCAAATAAGGCTGTAGCAGTAAAACTCCTGAGAGTTGAACTGAGCATCTGTGTCTTTCACTGCTTATTGATCAATATTTGTGAGAGGAAGAATGTGTTATCTTCTTTCAAAAGTTATAAAGTTTAAATTTGATTGCCTATGTCATAGTATAACTCCAATAATTATAACAACAACTATTAAAATGATGAAAAAATTTGAAAATAATGGAGTGCATTAGGCTCCAGGGATCCTGATCTCAGATACTGATATTCCCAAGTGCTTGGATGACAGGAAAACCACTGTGTGAGCTGTGACATCAACCTTTCAGTTCACAGCAATCAGAAGACTCACCTGACGTGCATTTCCCAAGCAGTGCACTTTAACTTGTAAAATATATATATGTCTAGAGATACCTTGGCATTTCATCAATGGCTGGCTTTTGTATAAGCCATCCAAAGAATGTCTTTAACGTCTGAAGGATGGAAGACCTCAACAGGGAAATTATATTGTGTCACACATACAGACACGCACACAAGTACATGCACACAGGCGCAAGATATATTATGTAATCACATTTCCCCGGTGTGGCTATATTTGTTCACAGTGTTGTCACTGAGGTGGAGCTTGTCAAAAGTTTCAAGGAAAGAGAAAGAGCTCTGGAGCAGTAGTGTTGGCCTCTGTGACTGTACACAGCTGTCTGCCATGGCCAGAATATAGCCTACTGGTAAGTTCAATGTTCATTTTTGTGTCTTTCTGCAGGTGTGGATAATTCAAGGCAGGATGTGATCAAGTGGTATTTGTATACGAGCTCTGAATCATTTTCTTTTATAACTTTATGAAAATACTAATAATAATAATTGTAATTAATTCGCAAATCTATGGCATTATTTATTTTTAAGTGAAGAGAATATAAATGGCAGTTTAACAGTGTGATACCTTGATTTTGTTTGCCCTTAAATTTACGGGTTTGTGGGTTTACTTAATCCCCAATGGCATCTTAATAAACTGTTTAAAATGAAATTGAAACTAGAGGATGTAAAGAGACTTTACATGTACTTATTCTGTGATTCAGTAAAAAGGTCTGAAAATACCTTTCTGTGAGAAGTGTAAGAAAAAAACAATATAACTTATATAAGAGTTCAGAATGAGCAAGGTGTGATTTATCATAATTTAGCAATTCCTGCTGATAACGACATTGATTATTGTTATATCACATTTGTAGTATGCCATTTATTAGGGACTGCATATAATCATGTTTTTATGATAGTGATCAAAGGGCAGCAGACTGACACAGCAGATGACTGCAGTTACGCTGCATTTCAAAACTTCAGCTGTCTTAAGCAAAGGTTTGTTTTATATTGTAGTAAATATGCACCTGATTTTCACAATTGTAATGCTTTTATAGATTGACCACAATGGCACCTGAATTGCTGGAGTCCAACACAAAACTGTCCATCTCAGCTTTTCTTTGGAACCTTCAAAAAGCAACCACATATCTACCTTCATCACAAAGTGAAACCTTCGCTTGAGCCTTTCAACTGATGGCAAAATGTCAGACATTCAATACACTAAACTGCGATGGTTATTAACCATTGCTGGACTGTTCTTGTATGTGGTGGACATTCTGACAGACATCGGTCTGGCACTGAAATATTTTCAAGAGAAACATTTTGTGTGGACTGGATTGACTCTAATGTTTGTTCTGGTTGGGCTGCTGGTGACTCAGATCTTCAGCCATGCCTGGTACAGGGACGACATGAATGATGTTCTGATAAACCCTGAGGGGAAAACAACCATACAAGGAATGTCCAAAGGTGGACTTGCTGCCCTGCACCTATTTGGCTTGGGCATCTTCACCAGGTATGAAATAATGACAAATGGTGATGATGTGATGATGATGTGATAAGAGCACTGCAGCTTAAGAAGAAAATAGCATGAGCTGCCCGTGTAGGCTGCAGTAAGGAGTGCCTCTATGTTGTAACTTAAAATGTAAAGTATGCTAAGCATGCACAATGACATATTATTCTGGAATGTGCAAACTGGAATAACTACATTTAAGGTGTAGTGTGTGACATTAGGAGAAAGTCTTGCAAATGCATCATTGTCTGTGCAGCAGCAAAAGATGAATCGGTAACAATGTACTGCATGGTGGCAACCACCTGTCTGACTTTTTTCACTGTGTTTGACCGGTTGCTAGGTATTATCACCTGCTGAAACAAGGGTTCAAAGTGGTTTGGACAACAACAAACCCCTATATAGTTGAAGAGAGAAGAGATGTGCACCACAATCTGTTTTGCCTGGCGACTGATCTGAGCATGCTCAAACTGTTTGAGGCTTTCCTGGAGAGTGTTCCCCAACTTCTTCTACAACTATACATACTGCTGGGCCATGATGAGTGCTCATTCATTCAGTGTAAGTAGAGGCAGAAAGTGAGAGAATATTTCTGCATATTCATGAACTTACTGTATGATTATTTGTACCACCTGTCAATTTCTTTTAGATTTATCTATGGCATTCTCCCTCTTCAACATTGCCTGGGCCCTGGTGAACTATCGCCGTTGCCTGCGCAGGTCCCTCCGCGACATCAAGGAGATGCCCTCTGGCCTCCCCACAGCAATCTACCTCTTCTACAAACTCTGTACCATGACCAGCCGCATCCTCAGCTACACCCTCCTCCTCATACTGAGCAGCTACAGCACAGTTGCCCTCACCATCCTCTGGCTGCTGTGGACAACCTGGGCACACTTGCTTCAAACTAACTTCTGCTCATCCAGAAGCCTTGAGCTTCTGTACAGAGCAGTCACCGGAGTTATCCTCATATTCACCTTTTTCAACATCAAAGGACAGGACACCAGAGCAGCCATGATCATCTACTACTTGTTCTATTGCGTTATAAACATTACTGCTCCTTTACTGCTGGCCTTTCTAAAGCCAGAGTTGCAGAAAACCACGTTTTTTCGAACAATCACTGGTTTAATCTTTGGAGGTTCAGTGCTGGGGCTGGTGTGCCTCGTGCTGTACTACCTCCTCCTGCATCCCAGAGAGATGTGGCGTCAGGCAGATGAGGTGGATGGCATGGGTAATGAACCCAGGACCACAAGCAGAATAAGGAAGTTTTTGCAGCTTTGATGAAGGTTTGTTAAAAAAAATAGAAATAATATTTTCCCCAGCCTGGTTATGGGGATGTAGAGAAAAACGATTCTGAATCTGCAGGTACCTAACAATTTTAAGAGGAAAGGGTAAAAAGAGCCTATACAAGGAGATGTCATCTTAATATTGTGCTCATTATTCATTAGGCTACATACGAGTACTGCTATCAATTAATTTACCATATTCTGAGGTGAAGTTTGCTTTTTCATTACTGATACAAATGACTAGGTAAGCAAATAAGTGCAAAATAGTTGAATGTAGCAATCAAAATCTTTATTTATTCTTGTTTTAACAAACTTGTTATGAATGATATATTTATTCTTATCATATCTATAAAAAGTAATTTATTTGCTGATCCTAATGGACAGCTGGCATATTCTCCTTAGATTGCCTGAATATATTTTATATCATTGTGACCAACACTGTCTATTAATAATGCATTGTAAATAATCCAATCTAGATATTCTATCATGATAAAAATAATTTCTCTACTTTTTATGTTAGATATACACATTTATGTGACGGACAAAGACACAATGATAAGCTGTTAGATGGTATACTTGCAAGCTGTTTTCTGATTAAGTTTTTTTCCACACCTTGTTGTCAGACCCTAGAAGTCGGGTATTTACAGTCCAGTAATATCATCTGGTATGCCTCAGCTGAATACTATCTGGTGTTTGTGGGCAGATGTTTTCTTTAAGCCTGTAACACACATGTTAAACACAAGGTGGTGTTATTGTCTAGGTTGATTTTTCTAGGCGAGGTCTTACTCTACACTACTGGACCTACATTAGCAACACTCATCGAGTTATCCTTTTAGTCAATATTTCAAGATCAAGACAAACCTTTTCCAATTACTCTAATGTCTTCTCCCTTAATATTTCCAGCGCCCAGTTGGATGTAATCTCACAATACGTAAGTGCTTGTTAATCTTTAAATTCTGAACTATATGATTTAAGTAATTCCTTAATTAGATTATCCTTTCCTTTTGTTTGAAGTAGAGATGCGTGTTATTTGCCAGAGCATCTTATCTTCTTGTTCTTTTTCAGCCTCTTTTCACCAATCCCCTCCCCCAGAATGTCTCTTTAGTTTAATTAAACATGAGAACCAAATGCCTAATTGATCACCACTGATAAATTAAGATGCAAGATCGGGTACAGTTTAACAAGACCTGGTAGGAAGAAAGGCTCTACGGCAATCCAGCAGAATGGATGCTCACCAACCCAACCTTGAAAAAAAAGTGTCTCCTGTTCAAAGTGGATGTCAACATCATCTCATTGACCTTCAATTAATGTGTAAATATCAGCTACAGCTCTTTCTCATCCTAATCGCCTCAAAGGTGGCAACTAAACATTTCCCTCTCCTTAGAATCCTTAGAAATGATGAACACGGGGGGGTCATGGATGAGCTAACTAGAAATAACAAACCAGTGCTAATTTTGTTTTGACTACCAACAAAATATTGTGTGTGTGTGTGTGTGTGTGTGTGTGTGTGTGTGTGTGTGGCGGGGTGCGAGGGGGTTGTGTGTGCTCGGCTGGCCCAGGGTGAGCTCACCTGGGAGGAACGCTGACAAACCGCAGAGTCCAGAGTGCAAGATGCTTGCTGGCTCCCAAATAAATGTAGGCTTTTCCCCCTCCCTCTGTTCCTTTAATTCAGCCAAACATAGAACTTTTTGACTTGTTTATCTACAGGGCCTCTTTAACTTTCATCTGTCAGTTGTGCTCTGTCAGAGGCACTCCATAAAATGACAAATTTAAGTGAGGAACTTGTGTTGGAGAGGAAATGAATCACTGCCAGGTAGTTACCACACAGAATTCATTTTTACTGTGGAGCTGCAGTGGACAGACTCTTAAGTCTTTGACTCGTATCAATTAAATGCTTGTTTTTTCTGTGTATTTACAGTATAGGCAAAGATAATTGTTCTACCTAAATAACTACAGAGCAAAGAGACATACAATGCTCATGTAAAGTAATTCCAAAATGAGGCTGATAGCTTACCTTTGGAACCAAAAAAGGATATTGCCCCATTGTACCTGTAGGCAGGGCACATCATTAGGGAGAAAATAAAATGACTTCATCCAATTCAGATAATGGATGCTCCCCTCTCTCCCTTCCACTGTATATTTCCATGGGTTCAGTGAACTAATGTGATGTAAACCTGCCAAATGGACTTTTATTGGGAGAAGATGCATGTCTCCTGGGCTTGAGTCCTAAGCAGTCTCTCCCTCTCTGTCTTCCTTTGCTTTTGTTGAGCTACACATACTTTTGGCTGTGACTCACCGCTGATAGCAATGCCAGGGACCAGTCACAAGCCATTGGGATGAAACGTGTTGAGCAAAGCATTACCTCCATCTCTCTAGGAGAAAACAAGCAGAGGGAACTCTGGCGTTGACAACCTCTCTGTAATTTCCACTTCTGGCACTGAGAGCTTAATACCCAGTAATCTCTCACTCTGATCTCACTGTAATGCACCTCCAGGTGGGCTGGAGTGCGTGTTGAGAATCTGAGAAACTAATAGCAAATCAATGATGATGATACGTGACAGTGCTAGATGAATCTCCAGAACACCACGGGCCTTCAGTTTGCTCAACAGAGACAGAAAATCATGCATCTTATCACACACACAAGGGGGCGAATGTGCAAACACAAAGACATGTAAACTCACACTGCCTCACAGCTCAGTTTTTTTCTAATCGAATGGCGCTCAGCGTCTGCATAAACAATCTTGACCACTGACCTCTCTATAACCATCACTAGCTTTTCACCAAATCTTATCTTTTTGTTTTCCATCACCACATCCTGTAACAGCCGGTCAGGAGGGGGGGCATTCCTGGCGTACGCCGTCCCCACAATTTGTACAGACACAATAAACCCAGAGAAGCAGGCTGTTTTTCATTAGGGCTTCAAAGTCCATATAAACCATGATTAATGAAGTCCTGAGATGTTGTATGTCTTTAATTATTATGACTTGACTGCTGCACCAGTGCCGCGGATGCATTTGCAATGTTGGCGATCTGTACACATCTGCCTGGCTCATTCTGACATGGCAGCTTCGCCTCATTCTCAGAGAATTCCCCGAATGTGGAGGAGGGTGGGTGGGGACGGGGGTGGGGTGATGGAAGCCCCGTTTTTGCAATGGCACAGAAGTTTCTTTAATCACTGTACATGCACACTTACAAATGAGTTTGGGCAGTGACAGATTGGAGAGCAGGCTGAGGATAATTACATGCAGTGGGCTGGTGTGTGTGATCAGAGCATGGCATTGCGTTACCCAGAGGGTTCTGTAAATAAAGTCCTCATGCAATGAATGAGGATATTGTAAAGCGCATTATGCTGAGTACAATAGCCCAACCATTGTTACCATTTGGATTTCTGCTCCTGAGTAGTTGTTGGTGTAGTATGACAAGAACTGCAACAGGGAAGTCAATCTAGGCTTAAGCAGAACATGTTGTGGATGAGGTCAGTTATAGTCATAAATCTGACATAAGGCACCAATTACCCACAGTAACTAGTCTTATACTATAGAGGATTAGCTTTATCTAGGACACTTTATTCTCTGGGGCTTTAAAGGGGCCCTATCATTGACATGTATTGTTATCCTTTATTTCGCACTGTATTAATGTCAAAAACTAATTGAAATTGGACTTAATTTAGAGCCCCACCCTTGTAGTGAAGCTGGTATTGTTGTACGATCACAGTCCAGTAAAATGTCTGTTTTTCCAATTCAACAAATACAGTTTTGAAAAAAACTTCAAGAAGATTATTCTTATCTTGAGTTTTAGCATGTGCAAATACGCCTCCACCACCATCAATTTAATCACAGTTTGTTACAATAGAAGAAGAAGAATCTATGGGCATGCTTGCAGCCTTGTGAGGCTGGACTGCCATGTTCCAGTTGCCTCGGAAGTTCCAAGTGGGAACTGGGAATGACGTCACACCCGAGTAAAGCCAACATGATCGCGTTACAGTTTTGGTCATACGTTGGAAAACAAGATGGACGCCTCCTGGAAAGCCTTTGTGATGCTTGAGCCTTTCGGAATACAGACAACAACAGAAGAAATGTGAGGTCCAAAACTGGTTTGCTAATCCTTTAACAGCATTTTAGGGCAAATTTAATCTCACTCTGCTTAAAAGAGAATACACAGAGCAGCCATCTTGGATTACGAAGTCGGGGGTAGTGCGGTTTCCCCGAGTTCCTGAGTTGGAATTCCCTCTTGAGGTAGCGTTCCAGTTAAACCTGCCCACTTCGAACTGGAAATTCTCCACCTCCCAGTACAACTGGAACGCACCTTAGATACGGTGGCACTTTGACCTAAATGCTAACGAGATTACAATGACAATGCTAACATGCTAATGTTCACCAGGTATAATAATATAATATAATTATATAATATATAATATATAATATAATAATAAGAACAGCTAACTGGACCAGGGGGTGCAGCGAAGATATATGACATGCACAAGTTTTGTGATGTAAAAAGGTTCTACAATTTTTACTACCCTTACATGTCAACCAAGAGCACTCACACCTGGGAGCTGCCTGAAACAGCCACAGACTTATGTTGTTATCCTCAGAGCAGCTACATTGGGACAGTTAGTGTTTAGTAACGATACCTGTTGAGGAAGGAAGGTGAGGTAGTTAATCACCCTCTACTTCCAGATTTTCCCTGCCAGTCAATGGATTTACCTTGGGACAGTTCGTTTATAATGCACTGATTGTATGACATACTATAAAAGTTTATTTTATTGGCCAAATTTATTCACAGTTCTTTATGGCTAAACTAATATCAATCTAATCTAACATATATTCTTAACATATCAATTAGCCTTTCTCAACCCCAGATGAAAGTCATCTTGAAAGGAATTTTGGGAGTAGGCTACTCTCTACTCTGTGTCATGTCCAGACAGTGGGACACAGAAACAAAGAGCAAAGAGGAAGCTCATTTGTATAATCTTCATTTAGTGCAGGCGTTTTATGTTTCACAGTCATAGACTGAGCACTAACATAATAGTGCTACCCATCCTAGTCCTCACACACAGTCGCGCTCACACAGACGTACACACAGATAGAAAACAGAAGCCATGTTTGTGTTGGGCATGCTCCCACAGCACACAGGATGATGGATTATAGAGTGTTCCTGTTTATTTATGCTGTGCTGGGTAGCGGAATATGGGCAAAGACCTCATGCATACAGCCAATGTATGGCAAATACAATCAGCCGTAAAATAAGATTGCATATTATGAATGAGAAATGGGTTCACACATGCAGACACATGAAAAGCACTGCAATCAAACACACACACACACATACGTCTTTTACAGGGGAAGCTTGTCTTGATTAACCTGGCCAAGGGAACCCGACATGTTTTTCCTTTTACGTCATGGCCTGTTCCCTGAGTGGCTTAGTGGAAACCATCAATTCTAGTTTGTCTGCAGTTTGTCTGTTTAAATCTTTTGCTAATCTGTATTATTCATTGATGGCCAGTTGGCCTTGCACAGGAAGTGCTGAGTGAAGGCTGATGTGGTATTTTTCTCCCAGACATCATACATCTCAGTCGGACCCCCTTCCTCTGCCCCCTTCCTTTAAGAATAAAAGCTCATTTTTATAAGGAAAATGTTTTGTCGCCATTGATTCTCTGCTGAACAGTCTTTCGAAGGCGAGGATTATCAGCATGAGCCATGAAAACAACGAGGAGGTTCACAAAGCATCTGTGACTGTGTGACTATGGGGGACAAACGTTTTTCTCTCATACAGTTACTCTGAGCTGCGTACACTACAACTTATCACCCCCTTGACAATTTTCTGTTTCTCCTAGTGTCAGAAGGCCCATAGATCTTGAGTGAAGGAAAAGATGCTATGCCTGATTATAACAAGAGGTCAGGTCTTTGATGCTGGTACGGTGAAATTTGTTATATGTTAAGCCAGTGCTAATGTGATTATGGACATTGATCCATTAAATCTACTGTAAAAATGCACCCTGCAGTAGTTTTGAACTTGATACTGAGGAGAAATGTGAGAAGTACTGTGAAACATTAAAGACGCTTTGATGTAATATTCAACCCATCTGCAGCAAACGGGGGAAATGTCCATAAAACGCATTTTGGGCCGGAGTAA